GAAGATCTGGATAATAAAACTGGCGGAAGATCTGGCGGAAGATCTGGCGGAAGATGTGGAATACATCTCTGGAAAAAAATCTGGCGGAAGATCTGCCAGAAGATCTCGCGGAACATCTAGCGGAAGATCTGGCGGACGGTTTCGCGAGAAAGACTTGGCGGAATATCTGGAGGACGATATGGTTGAAGATCTGGCGAAAGATCCCGCGGAACATCTAGCGGAAGATCTGCCAGAAGATCGGGCGGAAGATATTGAGGAAGATCTGGCGGAATATCTGAAGGAGGTCAGGCGGAAGATCTGGAGGATAGATCTGGCGGAGAGTTATAGCGGAAGATCTGGCGGAAGATCTGGAATGCAAATCTGGCTGAAGATCTGGCAGAAGATCTGGCGTAAAATCTGGCGGAAGATCTGGCGAAAGATCTGACGGAAGATCTGGAGAAGATCTGGCGAAAGATCTGGCGGACAATCTGGAGGATACAACTGGCGGAAGATCTGGAGGAATATTTGGCGGAAGATCTGGAGAAAGAGGAGGCGTAGCAGGACGAGGAGGAGCGAGGGGAAAAGGAGGAGGAGGCGGTGGAGGAGGACCACCCCCCGGTCCCGGACCCCCCCCCACCTGGCCCCCCCCCCCGGGGTCCCAAACCCAGATCTTTCGCCAGATCTTCCGCGAGATCTTCCGCCAGATCTTTCCCCAGATCTTCCTCCCTCAGATTCCCACAGATCTTCCCCCAAACATTTCTCCAAATTTATCGCTTTGCAACCTCTGCCAGGGGGAGGAGGAGGAGGAGGAGGGGGAGAAGGAGGAGAAGGGAGAGGAGGAGGAAGAGGTGGGGGAAGATAGCCGTGACCATTTTTTAAACTAGGGTTCGACTATCACTCGCGCGATGACGGCACGGCATGAAACAAAATAAAGAATTTTAAAACAATGATTTTTGAGTAGGTCCACGAGACTGAAGCCGGACATGCACATCTAGTTTTTTGAACTCCCTGTAACGCGAACTTGATATAACCCTTTTTCCAACAAGTGTGACGCATTGCGCACGCGCGCGCGTCGTCGCGCGCGCATGCCGAAGTACGTCAAACAACCTGGTGTCCGCAATGACTTCAAGATCGAGGTTCACGAGAACAAACAGCACTGGTTGTGCAACAGTACCTTGTCAAGAAAAATCCGCGCGCGCGATATTGCGAATTCTTGGCAACAAATGCGTGCCCAACATTATCATCAACAACGATCTGGCGGGCCGCTCGCGCGCGCGTCGGCCGCGCGCGTATGTCGAAATCTTTCCGCCACCTTCATCACCGACGCGTGGGCACCATCGTCGTCACCTGCCGGGTCAGCACCAGCGCCTGCATTGGCCCTGCCGTCGTCATCGTCATTGCCGTCACCAGCATCGCTACCATCATCATGGTGCCTGCAATTGTCGACGTCGCCATGATACCGCGCCCGCCCGAACTACCGCCTCGCACTGAGGTGCCCAAGCGTCACACGGCATGCGGGACGCGCTGGGGAGTCCCCAACGGTCAGCGCCACCGCGGCCGCGTCTGTCGGGCCAGACAGGCTGACCGCTCTGCGCGCGAGCGTGCGCGCGCTAGCGTGGCCGCCGCGATGCGCCAGCGACCACCAAGCAGTCATCGCGATCGCCGCCGCATGGATGTTGCAAACCAAGTTGCGGGTGGGTGGTGGGATGATTGCGCGAGCAGTGGAGTGGACAACTTCATGGTTGCAGCAGACATATTGCTCCACATATGTTGCACCACGTAGCTTGCATGTATGGTGTGTAATCTATGTGGCAACATCTGATTGATGAAACTTTACAGGCAGTTTATGTGGTGCTACATCTGTGATGCAATATATAGATGGTACAATTTGTGGGGCAGTCTATGTGGTGCAATGTATGTTGTGCAATCTATTTTGTGAAATCTATGCTGTGCAATATATGTGGTGCAATCTATGTTTTGAGCGGCCAAGAGGCCCGCCGCAGGCGCAACATTTTTCCTATAAATGTGGTAGAATCCAAAGACGGTGACGGGCGGCGACGAGACGGCGACGGGGCGGCGACGGCGGCCACAGAACCGCCCGCCACACCGAAGACACGGCCCAGACGACGGGCGGCGACGAGGCGGCGACGGCGGCCACATAATAGCCGCAATACCGACGACACGGTCCCGTTTCTTAGAACAGACAAGATAGCCCCTATGTGCAAGCTCTGCTCGGAGAATACTACTACAACCTTCGCCAAACATCGCAACCATCTCGGCCCAATCACCGCCGGATGTGATCAGTCCGAAAGCGTCGACGGCCGGTCCGAAGTGGTTGCGATCGGCCCCAGTGACCCCCTAACCACCCCACCGGGGTCACGCCACATCCACAGACCCAAAGGTGGTGGACCCTTCTGGGACCCCAGAGCGCACAACAACCTGCAGAAATTCAATGAGTTGGGCTTTTCGGGGTCCAAGAGGGCCTGCAGACGGCTCAACATGGCCTGCAGAAGGCCCAAGACGTCACCAAGACGGCCCCAAGAGGGCCCAAGAGGCCCCAAAGCCAGCCCCAGAGGGCTCCAATGGGGGCCTCCAAGAGCAGCTCCAGACGCCAAACACATTGATTCTCCGATGGGTTTTGCAAGGTTGTCGCGTTCTCGCCTTTTTCGAATCTCCGGGGCCCATGACGGCACAGGCAGCCACCAAGATAGTCCCAAGACGGCCCCAGAGGCCCCCAAGGGGGCCCCAAGACGGCCGCAGAGGGCCGCCAAACATACCCCAAAGATACGCCCGAGACGGTTCAAGCGGCCCCCATAACGGCCCAAAAGGATCCCAAGCGAGCTTCAAGGCGGCCCCGAGAGACCGCCAAGACGGCCTCCGAAGGGGCCCGACGGCGCAAGAGCGCCCCAAGACAGCCCACGAGACCCCGAACACGTCCCAGAAGGCCCCAAAGACGCCCCCAATAGACCCCAAAGGGCCCCCAAGAAGCTTCCAAAAGGCCCCCAAGAAATCCCCGAACGGCCCTAAGAAATCACTGCGAGGCCCGAGGAATTGTATACGAACGGCGCGTTGCTGCTGTGCTCATCGGATTCTGAATTTGGCGTTGCCTCGCGCTGACACGCGGTGAATCCTCATTGCCCTCGTGGACGTTCGCACGTTCGTCCTGGCGCTGAACTGGGAGGGGGCGCATCCGCCCCCTGTGGCGCTAGCAGCGCCCCAAGGTGGGCAGAACGACACGGCAGAACTTCGCCGAAGACGAGCAGGGTAAACCACCCAACGCCCAGTCTGAACGCGCTCCGGACGTGCACCCAACACGGCTTGCAGACGGCCCAAGACGTCCCCGAGACGGCCAAAGATGGCCCCAAGAAGATCCGGGAGGCTCCCAGGACCCCAAAGAGCACCTGCCCACAAACAGATTCATTGTCGGTTGGGTCTTAACTGATTTTCGTGTTCTCGCATTCTTCGACTCTCAGGGCCCCGCGACCGCCTCAGCTGCCTCCAAGATGGCCCCACCAGGCCCCAGAAGGCCCCAAAAAGGGACCCCGAAAAGCCTCCAGGAAGCCCCCAAGACTCACCCAAACGGCCCCAACAAAAACCACCGAGGCGCCTGCGGATGTTTGTGCACGACTGGCGCGTCATTGCTGCGCTCTCTGAACTTTGACCTCGGCGTGGCCTCGTGCCGACACGCGGTGAATGCTCGTTGCCCTCGTGGACGTTCGCACGCTCGTCCCGGCGCTGAGCTGGGAGAGGGCGCATCCGGCCGCCCGTGGCGCTGGCAGCGCCCCACGGTGGGCAGATCGACGCGGCAGCACTTCGCCGCAGACGCGCAGGGCACACCACCCAACGCCCAGGCTTTACGTGCTCCGGGCGTGCACCCCACGAAGCGAGAGGAACCCACGTCCGGAGGTGAAGTGCTCAGCGACAGCGTTTTCCGCGAAGGCTGTGCTGCAACGTATCCGACGTTTCCAATTTTTGTACAATTGCTAGATGTTGTGATCGTTTACATTATCATGTACCTCCCCTGTCCCCCCCACCCCCCACGAAGCGCTCCACCACATCCGTCTACCAAACGCGTCCCTCCTCGTATGGGGCTCAACAACCAAGTCAGGCCTCTGGGGGGGCCCATAGGGTATCAAGACGGCTCAAAATGGCCCCCAGACGGCCCACGACGTCCATAAGACGGTCCAAGAGGCCTTCATTGCCCAGCGCAGAACACCCGAGGTGGTCTCGCGCGGGAAGCGCGCGGCCCACCTCCGAGGAGGGTGCCCAGAGTTCCTGCATGAATTCACACGCGGTCGCCCCATACGGGCTCAGGCTGGCGCCCGAGAACAGCGGCGCACCACGCAGCCCGGAGCCGCCGCAGCTGCGTGGGGCTCTCTGGCAGCCCAGAAACAAAACACGGGCGCCGGCGCCACACCCCCTCGACGGCCCTGGGGCAGTCTGGGTGCCCTCTCGGGCCGTTCTGGAGCCCTCCTGAGGGCTCGCTTGGGTAGTGCCGGAGCTGGAGGAGGAGGGAGGAGGAGGAGGGGAGGAGGAGAGGAGGATGAGGAGGGGAGGAGGAGGAGAGGAGGAGGAAGAGGAGGAGGAGGAGGGGGGAGGAGGAGGAGGAGGAGGAGGAGGAGGAGGAGGAGGAGGAGGAGGAGGAGGAGGAGGAGGAGGAGGAGGAGGAGCAGGGGGAGGGGGAGGGGGAAGAGGAGGAGGGGGAGGGGGAGGATTGGGGCCCCCAGGCCAAGGTGGAGACCGTGGACCCTGAGAGGCATCGGAGCCAACACCGATCGACACTTCTGCGGCCAGAACTGAGCACTGCCTGCCTCTCCGGGGGCCTCGTGGGCGACCTCCCGGGGCCATCTTGGGGCGCCGACGGGAGCCGCCGCCCGAAGTCCAGGGCGACGAGGAGGACGACGAGGACGACGCCGAGGAGGACGAGAACGAGGAGGACGACGAGCTACTTGGGCCGTCCGAAGACGAGGGCGACGAGGACGACGCGGACGGGACGAAGACGGCGAGGCCCTCCCCAGCGCCTGCAGGTGGAACTCCGCCGCTGGGACCGGAGGGCGCACGCTCGGGGCGCAGAAGGAGCTCAGCTGGCCCACGAGGCTGGCGCCAGCCTGCGAAGGAGGGGGGGGGTACGACCAGACACGGCTGCGGGCGCGCACGGCGAGATCGTGTCGAGACGACCTGGGCCTTCGTTTCTGTTACCGTGTGTATGTGGATCGTTCAGCCTTGAGCGATCGGCGGCTTCTCGATCGCCAGAACCTTTTCTGGGCCACTGGCGGCGTTCAGCCTTGAACGCCCGCGGCGGGGTCGCTGCTGCGTCGGGGAGACACGAACCTGCAGTGACCCTCGACCTTGCCTTGCGACGGCGAGAAGCGGACAGCGAGAGGACGAGCTGCGGGAGAAAAGAAGAGGCACGACAAGACACGACTGCGAGGGGGTGGACGGAGGTGGAGAGGTTCGGGAGGGCTGTCGGTGGTTCAAGGATGGGGCAGGGCTGGACCTAAACAGTGTTTTTCGTTTTCGTTTTGTTTTCGTTGTCCCTCGTTTTGTCTTGAATTCGCCTTCGCTGCAAAACGACATCGAAACGAAGACGGCCCACGAAATCGCCAACACACCGGTTAGGTCCACCCCTTGGATGGGGTCCTGAGGGATGGGGTCCCGAGGACGAGGTGCCTCAAACAACTCGAAGCCACCCTTGGATCCCTTCCACTCCTTGGGACTCCATCCCTTAGGACCCCATCTTCGAGCCGCCGAGGGTGTCCGCTCCCGCCCGCCATGCCACCGCGGAACCAGCACCCGAGGCTAATCGTGCTCGCGCAGCGGCCGCCATTCCAGGGGCAGCTCTGGGACCCAGCGCAGGCGCCAGGTAGAGCACGCTGGCTGGGTGCGCCAGGCGCATCAATAGAAGAAGAAAGACAACCTGAGCATAAACTTTTGTTGTATTCGCGCTGACCCCCCTCCCTTGCGCGCGGAGCGCGCCAGGGGCGGCGCCAGAGGCGCCGCCGGGGGGCCCAGGCGCGGATCCAAGAAACCCGCGCGGAGTGCCAAAAGTTTATGTTTATGTGGATTTGTTTCTCCTTATCAAGTGCGCCGCGCGCACCAAATGTCCCATGTGCCCGAGTTGGGTCAGTACGCGTGGTGCACACGATGCACCGCGCGCGCACAGTGTGCCACCTGCCCCAGGTGCGCCAGCTGCCACGTGCGCAACGCGGGCATTGTGCGCCAGTGCACGTGGCCCCGCGTCGGGCAATTCGTCGACAACTCCTGCCACTGCTACTCCAAAAAATCCGCCGACCCTGGCGGCGTGTGCGAGGGGCTTCTCCGTTCGAGTCGTCGTCTCCGTCGTCTCCTCGTTTCGTCGTCGCCACAGTCGTCTCCTCGCCGTATCCGTCGTCCCCCGTCCCTTTCCCTGGGCCCTCCTCAAGTGTGCCATCCAAAGCGAAATTGTACAACATCGCATTGGAGTCGAAGGGAAGCCGCTTCCCGTTGATCCCTTCCCCGCAGGTGGGGTGGCCCTGGGGGTGGTCCGGGGGGGGTCGCCACCCAGATTCGTTTTCCCCTGGGCGGCCCCGACATATCGAACAGCCCCAAAAAGAACCCAGAATGCCGAAGATGGCTCCCAAGATTGCCTACAAGAGCCCCGTGTCGCTCAAAGATCGGCTCAGCACGGCCAAGATGGCCTCAAGACGATCCAAGAAGCCTCCTAGAGGTCCCAGGAGCTCTCCAGGAGCACCCCCACCAAGGCTCCAAGAGGCTCTTCCCCTCCTCCTCCTCCTCCTCCTCCTCCTCCTCCTCCTCCTCCTCCTCCTCCTCTCCTCCTCCCTCATCCACCTCCTGCACCCCTTCCTCCTCCGCCTATCACTCCTCCTCATCCCGCTGCACCCCCCCCTCCCTTTCATCTTCGTCGTCTTCGGGGTCGGCGGCACCGGCCGTAAGGCCTTCGCAATACTCTGGCGAAGGACCCAAACGTGTGCAATTGAAAATGCCGCGGTTGTGAGTATCGTATTCGGTGGGGTTCCCTGTGGAGCGATGAACCGTTTGAAAAGTGTGCCGAGATGGGTGCAGATGACGCATGCGAGCTCTGCCGCTGGGGCCATCGGTGGAACTCCCTATGTTGCCATCAATCGTGTGAAGGGTAGAAAAGTACGCCGCAATGGATGCTGACAACACGTGCGAGAGACGCCACTGGGGCTTTGGGTGGAGCTCCCTATAGCTCCCTATGGGGTCACGATACGTTTGAGAGGTTTGCCGAAATCGGGGGCGGGGAGTCATGTGAATGGCGCCATCGGGACCTTTTAGTTGTTTCCCAACCATCATGTGGTGTTGTGCCCTGGTTTTGAAAGGACAGCCTCCTCCTCCTCCTCCATCCTCCAGCTGCAGCATCGCCTGCTCCTCCTCCCCATCAACGTTCCTCCCCCTCAGCCTTCCTCTACCCTTCCCTGTCCCTGCTCTCGTCAGTTCCCTCCTCCTTTTGTTCCTCCTGCCTCCCTCCACCCTCCATCCTCCCTCGTTGTGTCCTCCTCC